TGCTCAACAATGTTAAAGTGCGCGCTCAATAACATTTTCTATTCTCAAAATGTGTCTTTGCGTTCTCAGGATAGAGGCACAAAAAGAACCCCATACTCTCAGACATCGCTGTCTTATACCTGTGTGAATGTCTTCCTGTAACTCTCCATCCTTCCACAGGAACTCCCTCTCCATGTGAACCCAACGAGTTCAAATGTAAGAACGGCCGCTGCGCCCTGAAGCTGTGGCGCTGCGACGGAGACAACGACTGTGAGGACAACTCCGACGAGACAGACTGCCGTGAGTCTCCATTACTTTAGATATATTGGTCTTTCAAAGGAATAGCTCAACATGCTGTAAGTCAATAAGTCGATCATTCAGAGATGATCGGGTCATGGCTAAAATAAAACTCAAAGACATATCCATGTGTTGCACCATGACTCGAAAACTAGAACATGTTGTATGGCAAGTCCAACCATCGACAATTAGTAAATAACAAATAACTTAAAAATACTCAAAGTCCACATTTTGTGTGATTATTTAAATTGATGAATGTCAATGTCTGTAGGGACTTGGCTTAGGAACTGGAAGGCCACCGGTTCAAGTCCCCAAAAGACCAGGTGCTACCGAGGTGTCCCTGAGCAAGGCACCGTACACATGGCAGCCCACTGCTCCTAACACTAGGACCTCTGGTTGAGGGTCTGTTAAGGGTTCCTTCTTCTCTGCTATATCTCACAATAAGTGAAAAGCGTGAAGGAAGGTTGAGTTCATGTCGATATATCTTACAAAACGCCTACTGTCTTGTCCATAATCAGGTGATGCATTTACAACATGGGAGCAGACCGAGCCAAGTCTCCATGTGATCCGTTTTTTGAGTTGTTTTGAGTCGTTTGATTGTTTTTGTCCTGCAGCCACGAAGGGCCCCGGGGACCGCTGTGCTCCGGAGCAGTTTGAGTGTCTGAGCGACCGGACCTGCATCCCGGCCAGCTATCAGTGCGACGACGAGCCGGACTGCCCCGACCGGTCGGACGAATTCGGCTGCAGTAAGTCTCAATCTGTCTTCTGTCTCTGAGCGGCTCCAGCAGGCTGAGCATCAGGTGGACTGATGACGACGCTCCTGAGATCAACACCAAGAAAACGGAGGAAATGTGTTTTGGCTCAGTGATTGTTCTGTTACGCTAAATGTTTGTTGTTCATGTACTGTGTCTTGATGTGTGTCCATGTTGATGTTACACATGGAGCTGCTGTGAGGCAAGTCACATCTCAGACTTGACCTGACCGTTAAAGTATTATCGGGTCGTCTCGTCCCTCTGAGATCTGTGACTCTTTGTCTCTGAACTTCTCTTCACACTCGTCTCCTCTGAGACACTGGGCTGTTTGTGGGACGTCCATTCCTGAGGACTGAGGGCTGATTGTCCGTCCTCAGAGCAGAGTGATGATATTCCCCTGACATCATGATCCCTGCCGCCTCGCTGCATTCCTGTCCCGTTCCCATGTCCATTATTCTGTGTTTGAATCGTCTTCCTGGCTCTTTGCAGCCCCTCCCTCTGTGACCAGCCCGCCGGAGGAGTCCATTGAGGTGGCACGGGGGGGGACGGTGACGTTCACCTGTCAGGCTGTGGGAGTGCCCACCCCCATCATCACCTGGAGACTCAACTGGGGCCACATCCCCCTCAGCGGCAGGTAACCCTCCCTCTGTACCCGCAATACAACTTAGGCACTTCATTTGAATCAATACAAATATTCAGATGATTGTAATGGTATTTATATTGCACATATATATATATATTCTCAACGCATTACCTAAAGAGCACTGTTCATGGACAGAAAGCCTTTCTTAAAACACAAATCACTAATAAAGGCTGTTTAATCTGCAGTGGAACATGACGATTGTTTTTTACGCATAAACTGATGATAACAAGCACTTAGTAACGAACATTTGTCGTAAAATGTGATCACTTTTCATCTTTTTCAAGTATTTATTTCACATAGGAGGACACACAATGTGCCTCAGCAAGTTGTTCTTTCTTAAACACTAGTTTGAATTACCTGAAAATACATTTCATTTAGCTGAAGCTTTATCCAAAGCGACAAAAACAGTGCAATAAACCATAAGGAAACACCCTCTCCACTCACTCCGTATGTAGCCCTGTGTCTCTGTGCTGATTTCTCTGGTCGTGTGTCTTTAATTACCGAGAGATATTTAAGTTAATTCTGGGCGTCGGCTGCTCTGTGTGTGGTTAGAAACTGAGTGCTTATTTTATGGAGTTTTGTGTAACTCTACATCTGCAGATTATTACAGAGAGCTGAAGTCAGGACTCGCACTACCTGGGGACCAATACTGATTTAGAGTGAAGTCGAACCTCCTGCCAATCTGCCACTCCTGTCATGAGTGTAGAGCTAAATACATCTTTAAAAGCTAATCAGTATTTCTATAACAGAGATGATGAGTTTCTGTGTTCCTAAGATCTCAATCAAAACTCTGTCCTTTAAGTTTCATAACCAAGACGTGCAAACACATGACAACATGCTTTAAATGAAGCAGTGGAATATAGCATATAGAAATGAGAGAATAGTTTGCACTGAACCCCTCTTCATCCACTGCGTTCCCAGGATCTCGATGACCAATGAGAACGGACAAGGCACGCTGACGATCCGCGACGTGAAGGAGGCGGATCAGGGCGCCTACACCTGCGAGGCCATCAACGCCAAAGGACTCGTGTTCGGGATCCCCGACGGCGTGCTGACGCTCACCTCCTCTCCTAACCCAGGTACTTCCTCTCCTAACTTCCTCTCCTAACCCAGGTACCTCCTTTCCTAACCCAGGTACTTTTTAACCTTAACCCTGGTACTACTTCCGCTCCTAACCCAGGTACCTCCTCTCCTAACTTCCTCTCCTAACCCAGGTACCTCCTATCCTAACCCAGGTACTTCCTCTCCTAACTTCCTCTCCTAACCCAGGTACCTCCTCTCCTAACCCAGGCACTACTTCCTCTCCTAACTTCCTCTCCAAACTCAGGTACTTCCTCTCCTAACCCAGGCACTACTTCCTCTCCTAACCTCCTCTCCTAACCCAGGTACTACTTCCTCTCTAACCCTGGTACTTCCTCTCCTAACCCAGGTACTACTTCCTCTCTAACCCTGGTACTTCCTCTCCTAACCCAGGTACTACTTCCTCTCTAACCCCCTTTCTAACCCTCTTTCTAACCCCCTTTCTAACCCTCTTTCTAACCCCCTTTCTAACCCTCTTTCTAACCCCCTTTCCAACCCCCTTTCCAACCCTCTTTCTAACCCCTAACCCCCTTTCTAACCCTCTTTCTAACCCTCTTTCTAACCCCCTTTCTAGCCCTCTTTCTAATCACCTTTCTAACCCTCTTTCTAACCCTCTTTCTAACCCCCTTTCTAGCCCTCTTTCTAGCCCCCTTTCTAACCCCCTTTCTAACCCTCTCTCCAACCCTCTTTCTAACCCCTAACCCCCTTTCTAACCCTCTTTCTAACCCCCTTTCTAACCCTCTTTCTAGCCCCCTTTCTAACCCCCTTTCTAACCCCCTTTCTAACCTTCTTTCTAGCCCCCTTTCTAACCCCGTTTCTAACCCCCTTTCTAACCCTCTTTCCAACCCCCTTTCTAGCCCTCTTTCTAACCCCCTTTCTAACCCTCTTTCTAGCCCCCTTTCTAACCCCCTTTCTAACCCCCTTTCTAACCCTCTTTCTAGCCCTCTTTCTAACCCCCTTTCTAACCCTCTTTCTAGCCCTCTTTCTAACCCCCTTTCTAACCCTCTTTCTAACCCTCTTTCTAACCCTCTTTCTAGCCCCCTTTCTAACCCCCTTTCTAACCCTCTTTCTAGCCCTCTTTCTAACCCCCTTTCTAACCCTCTTTCTAGCCCTCTTTCTAACCCTCTTTCTAGCCCTCTTTCTAACCCCCTTTCTAGCCCCCTTTCTAGCCCTCTTTCTAACCCCCTTTCTAGCCCCCTTTCTAACCCCTGTGTTCCTCTGGCTCTGCAGGGAACTGTCCCTCGGGTCACTTCAGCATTCAGGGTCGCTGTGTTTCCTGTTTCTGTGCCGGACTCTCCAAGAACTGCAAAGGCACCGGACGCTACCGGAACCAGATCAGCCTGCGCTTCACCGAGGAGGAGGACTTCAAAGGTGCCGTGGATCCCAAACCTTAGACACTCACGACATCACAAGATCTAACAGAATACAAACGGAGACTTATAAGAGACCCTCCAGTTGCATTGCGGGTACAGAGACAGAACACTTGCGTCAAGTCCGCCAAGAGTAAATGTTTCTGTCTCAAGAATAACAGAATACCTATGCTAAATAAGACCCTATGCTAAATCAGACCCTATGCTAAATCAGACCCTATGCTAAATCAGACCCTATGCTAAATCAGACCCTATGCTAAATCAGACCCTATGCTAATGCAGCGGCTCGTCTGGTCTTCAACCTTCCCAAATTCTCCCACACCACACCGCTCCTCCGCTCCCTTCACTGGCTTCCAGTAACTGCTAGAATCCACTTCAAGACACTGGTACTTGCGTACCATGCTGCGAATGGATCTGGCCCTTCCTACATCCAGGACATGGTTAAACCGTACACCCCAGCACGTGCACTCCGCTCTGCATCAGCCAAACAGCTCGCTGCACCCGCACTGCGAGGGGGACCCAAGTTCCCGTCAGCAAAAACACGTGGGTTTGCTATCCTGGCTCCAAAATGGTGGAATGAGCTCCCCATTGAAATCAGGACAGCAGATAGCTTACACATCTTCCGACGCAAATTGAAAACTCATCTCTTTAGACTCCACTTCGAGCGATAAAATTACTAACAAAGCACTTATATACTAATAAAGGGCTGGCTTTTTAAATGCCAGTTGAGTAGCACTTGAAATGTTTGGCTCTATGAAACCTGATGTACTTATATGATTCTG